AAAAATGATTGTAATTAATAAATAAAATTGCTTATAAATTTGTAGACAAATCAGTTAAAAGGATAAATAATAAAAAATTAATATAGATTTTTATTCTAAACTAATTTAATCAATTTTATTTTAAATTTTAAATTTTATAAGTTTTACTAATTTTACTTTAAGTTTTATTATATAATTAACCTTTTTCAAAAATTAAATTATCAAGTTTAGCATTTTAATATTTTTAAATAATATTTTTTAAATTATTAAATTAACAATTATTTAAATAATTCAAATATCAAAAGTATTTTATGTTCTAAAAACTTGAAATATATTTAATATTAAGTTTTTTAAAAAAAAAATAAAGATTTTATTTTATGATTAAAATTTGAAAATTAAATTTCAAAAATAGTAAAATATTAATAATAATTAAATCTAAATAAAAAGATCTTTTAAATAAAATAGAAAAAAATAAAATAAAATAAAAACTAAAATTATTAATAATAATCTATCAAAAAAAAAAAAAAAAAAAATCAAAAAATAATATAAAAATTAGAAAAATTAAAATAATATAATAACATCAAAGGAGAAATATCATCATTATATATAGTTTTAATTTGATATTTGAATAGTTTGAACTGCATATGTAAATATAATTATTAATAAAAATATTATGTATTGAAGATGAAATTAAAATTATTAAGCAAAAATTGCTTTTTAATATAAGAAACAAAGTTAGCAAATCGACTATTGAGTATATTTTAGCTTTTTTAACAAGAGTATTTATTAATTATCAAATAGAATAAATAAAAAATAAATTGTAACTTTATTTCTTATTATAAATTAATTATGATAATCATATAAGCATTGAATGAATGTTAAAAATCATTTTTGAATGAAATTCCTATTCCTGTTGCGGATTAAATGATTTTATTTCTATCGTATTACAAAAAAAAATTAAAGTTATCAAGGTCTAAAAAGCCTTTCTCGTTATCCAGTTAATGGAAAAAGGATGGAAAAAGGATGATGATGATGATGTAGTTTATTTTTACAAAAAATGAAAAATACAGTAATTGAGAAAAAAAAGATATATCATTATTATTATACTAAATCGACCCCGGTTAGAATAATAACGTTGGAGACGGTCCAGGAAAAAATAATGATTTCCTATTTTAATCATAGATAATATATGGATGAAATTTAATCTATTCAGTTATGTGTTTAATAGTTTAAGAAATATTTTGGAGTAATAATTTATTTCAATTATTAAATAAAACCAATCTATTTAGAAAATGCCGCTTTAAAAATGTTATCGATCACTCTTGCGACAAAGAACTTTTGGATGGAAAATGTAAAAATTTCCATTTCCTCGATGTTAAATTCAGAAATATCTAAAATTCTACTTTCATAATACATTTGTCGACATATACCTTTCTTATTATTAACAACCAAATCGCTATAACCAAAATTCAAGACATGATTATAACAATTCGATTCATATATTGCCTTTGCGCTATTTTCAACTCGACTAATCTTAACGTTTTTTAAATCATTACTGTTGCCCATAGAAAAAATAAAGCATTCACTATTATTAACCCAATAATTAGTAGGTTTATGAGTGTCATCCAAAATACTGTTGCTATTACTCCTATAAGTATTACCCCAAATATTATTATTATTACCCCTAGAAGTATTGTTATTATTATCCCTATAAGTATTATTGTTATTATAGTCGTTACTCCTTTTAGGAGGATTAACGTCCGATTCATAAACTTTCCAACCAAGAGGATTATAACCACCAATCACAGTCCCGTCGGCAATTTTAATAATCAAAATACACCCAGTCTGTCCATAACATTTCTTTCGTATAGCATTGAAATCAAAGCCGTCATTATTTCCACGATAAATTAGATTCATATTATATCTATGGTCCTTTGGAATTATTGCATTGGCATGTTTTCTTTGAATCCAATTAGTAAGGATGGCCGCATGTTTTGGTGTAATGATTTTTGAATTAACAGCAATCCTTCCATAACGAGGAGGCAAAATATCTCTAGGTCGATCATTTGTCATATAGAAGGATAAAACACTTTCAAAGAGTTCTTCAGGTAACAATTTTTTATAAGGTCGAACCTGATTATGAAAATCTTTTGAAGAAATTTCGAAGAATCGAATGTAAGGGATAAATGGGCTCAAAATATCCTTCAAAGCCAAGAAGTCCTCATCATCCCAACTACTTAAATCGTCAAAGCACAATTCCGAAGTTTGGGCAATTCCCCATCGAATGAGATGATTCCATAAATCAATTTCATCAATTTGTAAATCTCCTTTAACCAAACCAAGTAAAACACTTTTTTCTAAAGTTGGAAATTCTGGCAAATTAAAAAATGGTATAGGATCATCATAGATACATCCTAAACAATAATCTTTGGAGCTTTTTGCAATTTTCCAGTTGGAATAATTTTTGATGAATTCTGACTAAATTTCGTTGTAGCCATCCATTTTGTTCTTTAATTAAATGCTTTTCTATAAAATCAGTCAATCTCTCAAGAAGTAATTCATCAGACGCTACAAGAAGATTAAAAACGTCCAAGGGAGATGATCTTCTCACATCAAGAATGCCAGTATATATATATCTAGAGAAAAAAAAAAGGAAGAAAATTTATAACTCGTTTTATTAATTATTTTTTTTTTTTAAAAAAAAGTACAACCTCAGTTACAAACTTCTTTTAATTGCTAATATATCATGCGCCTTTTCAAATTATAAGAAAAAAATATCAATATACTTACTTAATAATCATTTCAAAGACGGTAGGAGAAATATTCGGTTTTTTAAATTCAATCATACGATTTTTCTCTATAGCCCAATCCTGAGAGAGAGCTCTTTTAAAGTAAGGTGATCGAGCTCTCAAGATAACAGAGTGAGCTCGAAATTCTTTTGTATACGGAATCTCTCCTACTATAATTTTAACATTATAATCATCTGCATCATCAAACAAATGAGAAAAGTTTTGAGAAAATTCAGATAAAAATTCAAAGGTCATTTTTATTTTTAAATAAAATTTCAATGCAAAAAAATTTATTTTTTTTTTTTTCATGAAGGTATTTATATGTAATTCATGTTTCACGAATTTTTGAGAAATTGTTATTGTCTGATATAAATGGGAGATTGTGACGTAGTACTGTTTATAATCGAAAAATGTTTTTGTTCGGTAAGTTCTTTACTTTATTTATCGGTGTAACCTATCCACCTTTTCAAAATCGACAATGTTATTTATAATTATTCAAGTTACTTGGTATAAGTTTCGTGCTATAACTTCTTACGCTCTTATTTATATTGCAAAGTGAAATGATTTTTGAAAAAATTATAAATCGTTTAATATTTTTTATTTCTTTTTATTATTATAAATTCATATTTCTTTCTAGAATACAATTGTTCTGATACTATTTTTTACATACGTGTATTTTGCAATGTTAAAAATAAAAATTATGTAAATAAATCAAAATTCCAAAGTTTATCCTACATTACTATCTATGTTTTGATGATGATGTAATTAATGATTAATCGATTAAACTCGAAAATGTCTCGGGCTTCGCAAGGATTTCATTCAACGATCTCACAATATAGTCCCCATGATGAGCAGTTGGTTTAATAATATCTTGTAAAAGGTTTACTGGTAAAAAGAATCAACAACACGAGGAAAAATATCAGTTACACGATTTCTCATCAGTTACATGTATTGATGGAATCCAAATTTAATAATACAAACTAATCTGATAAACAAAGTCTATTTCATAATTGCGTAACATATATAAACCTTCAAAGAAAAAAAAAATTTTTTTTTTCACAAAAAATAATAATAATTACTTTTTCAAGTCTCACTAGAAAAGAAAAAACTCAATATGAAAGTTATATTGTCATCCGTCTATTTTATTTTCTTGACTCTTGTTGTACCTTTTATGTGCGTATTTGGAGGTTTGGCAGAAGCACAAGCTCCAACGGATACATTTGTTACTACCACGTATGTTCCCACGGCTACGCTTTCCATGACTTCAACAACTTCTTCAAGTGATGTTGGTAAGATTAAAAAAGAAATTTATCTTCAAAACAGACGAAAAGAATTTTATTTTGTTATTGTTTTTCAAGGGAGTCAAATGAATATTCAAAAACATTATTAATCATTTTCTTTTGTGTCTTATATTTCTTTCTCCATTTACTGCCTACATCACATCATCTCGAATCGTTTCGCCAACTTATACAGATACCTTTACGCGAACTTCTTCTACTCAAACTCATATTGTAACTAGTCCAACCACCACAACTTCTGGTAAACCTACTCAAACTGCTGGTGCTTCAATCATGAAGTGGGATGTTGATAAAGCAGCCCTTGGTGCTGCTTGTGGCGTCGCCGCATTTTTCATTGCTATGGCTTAATATTATATAGCTCGCGAGTTTAATGTTTAGTTGGAGAAATAATCGTGAAATCTTTTTTTCCTGTTCTTCCAATTAAAAGGTCTTCATTTTAATATAATCTTTAGATCGTTAATTCTTTTTATCTACGGATTAACGTTTATCATGTAATGCAACCATTTGCTTAAATAAAAACAAATAATTTTTATTTACTGCGGCAAACCTCCAAAGTTGCTTAATTTATTGGTGGTTATGGAATTTCATGATGCCGATTTTTATTACTGCGGTATTATAAAATTGAATTGATATAATTGATATGTTCTTTCATTAAAAGATATATAGTTTCGGCAATAGTTTATTTTATAAGTAAAATTAAGCTAATTAAGCTTCTAATCTCCATACTTTCTATATTTACTTTGAATAAAAAAATTACTAACTATTCATGTGAGTTGTTGAAACAAGATGTGAATTCTAAAAAAAAAAAAAAAAACGAATAATAGGGTAGGGTATGAATTTTTTTTTATTAAACTTCATTAAATTCAAATCGTTAAAAAATCAAATACAAAAAAAAAAAAAAAAAAAAAAAAAAATTAAAATAAATTATACACTTTCAAATTACTGAAAAAATTCTAACTTTTTTATCTAAGGTTTTAAGTAATTTTTTTTTTTTTTTTTTAAGAGATTCTACTATCCCTTTTCGCTTTACCCATTCCCGCTTTAATTATTTTCCTAATACTTCCAGTACTTGAAGTACTTGAATTACTGGAAGAGCTAACGGATCGATTTCTCCCAATTGTCTTTGTCTTTGCTTTTGCTTTTCCACTCGAAGAGATGGTTTCTGATCTTAACCTTTCAAACACACTATTAGCTCCAACATCTGCAATACTATTGGATCTCGTTCTGCTTCCCAAAAGGCTACTTCTCACACTGTTCGTTGAATTCACTTTACCATTTCCAATACTTGCGGTATTACTATTTGAACGACTTTTTATGGCATTATTTTTCACCACACTATTCCTAGCGCTATTTGTTACATCACCCACGACTCCCTTAACCCCTCCGCTCCTACTTCTCACCGCAATATTTTCCAAGTTATTGGGTTGCATAGGAAATGATTTCTTAATCGTGGAGGTGGAAGAACTTGCGGTTTCATTATCACCTCCACTCCTGGGAACGAGAGGTGAACCATGATAAGATCTCGTGGTAACTTGTGAAAGAGTTTTAGACGTTCGTGACGGTTGTGATGATTTCGAAACTCTTTGTGTCGATGAGGGAGGGTTACTGTTTTCATTAGCCGTTGTTGCAAATTTTACAAGACTAGGTGAAAAAACTCTTGCTTGTGAAGTTTTTGTGGTGCCAAGACTTGATTTTTGTTGTGATGAAACCTCTGTTGGGATACTTTTTTGAGAAATTGATTTTTGTTGTTGTCTCCTAGATTCTTCTCGTCTCTTTTGAAATGTTTCCCCAGCTTTTGTGATGGTAGGATTTTGTGATGGTGAACGTGCAATTGAAGGTATAGATCTTTCTCGTGAATCTTGCTGTGTGGGTAGGTCTTGATACATAAAAGGAGCAACTTTTCTTGTATCCAAATTCGTAACCTTATTAATCGTTTCATCATCGGATGAAGGAAGCGTGACCGAATTCACGGTGGCAGATGAACTTAAAGAAGTTGTGGAAGTTGTACCCCTAATAATTGTAGCGGAATTAATAGACGTTACGGAAGGCCTTCTTGGAGACTTTTTCGGTGGGGTAGGTCTCATGGAATAATCTAGTAAAGAACCATCCGAAATTTTCCTTGGTATAGGTGAAATTATGGAATCATTTATAAAATGAGATCGATTTAACGGTGAATGAACCGGGGGGGAATGAGGTAAATGACTCGTATGCTCATTATCATAAACACTTTTAACATTATCAAAACTGTTATTTCTCGGTAATAATGGTGAAGAGGGATATTTTAATTTTGATTGTTTGACGTATGAAGTGGGAGATTGCGTGATGGGATTTAACGCCGTCGAAGGGGGAATTATTATCTGATGTTGCGGTAATGGTGGAGGCGGTGGTGGGGAATTTGGAGGAATTGAAGGAACCGAAGGATGATAAGGGGGAGAAAGTGGGGGAGAAAGTGGAAGAGTAGTAGAATTTAATCCTCTTTCATGATAAGGCTGCATTGGGGGAGGTAAATCTTCATGTATTTCCACAAGATAACTGTTAGAATCCATTTGAGAATTTGTCTGTTGCGAAGATATTTGAGTAGACCATTGACTTTGACTTTGACTATCATCAACATTTAATGATCTCATCCATTGTGGATTTGGAGGCATTAAATTATTACTTAATGTCCCCTTTGTGTTCGCTGAAGATGAGTTGGTCACTTTTGCTATTGTAAGCGCATCACTTAAGGTACTTGTGGATGGATAAAAGATTAAGATCAGAGTAATGTATACGATCCAAAGTGAAAAATTTACATGACATAATATAAGGTCGGATGCGAATTTATGCGAGATAAGATACTTCGAGGAGGTTAAACCATCAATACAGAGAATCATGAATGCGGCCGATCCGATCAAAAGACCCCACGTTAAGTATCTATTCATATCTCTAAAATATTCCAACTTTAATACAATGTTAACATGGGGCGTCTTTGCATTTTTCGTCACGTGTAATAAATTTGTGAATCTACTATGAGATCTTATTCCCAACATTGCGATTAAAAACATGAATATTGCGTAGACCAATTGAGGGATGATTTCGGTGTAAAACGTATCGTCTCGATAAATGAATTGTAATAAAGGGAAAATGAGTGCACTAAATATTGAATATACAATGTATGATTTGAATTCGAAACTACCCATAAAGGAAGTCTTCGCCAAATTGTTGGCGAGATAGTTCCAAAATGATTGAAGCAAAAACAACAAGCAACTGCGGTGAGAAAAAAAAGGTTAGTTATACTCGGAATAATATCAAAGAAGATTTTGTTCATGATTTTTTTTTTTAGTCATACGTACGTCTGTAAGCTAAAGTTTGCGCAGAGGATATAGTTTGTAGGCACCACCAAGTCATCGTTGCTCTTGCTCCAAAATTGATGTGGCTTCGAAATAATTTCGCCGTTTAATGGATTAACCCAAAAACCTTCATGATATTTTACGTTCGATATCGTGATATCATAAAAAGCTTGTAACGGGCACATAATCACCAGTAAGATTGTGATTACTGATTTCTGCAATTGATTCAAAGATATGTTATCACGTGATATGGCAACTCTCGAGGCTTTCTGCGGCATCCGCAGTTAGATATGCGCGTTTTTTTTTTTTTTTGTTTTTTTTCGAACTTACTTACCAATTCGTATTTTTTAACACGTTTCCACCTTAATGCATCGAATCTATCAATATTCCACACATGTTGTAAGAACCAAATGAAGGTCCACGAGACGAACACCGCACGAGCTATCGATATCAATATAAATTTATTAGTTTCATTCACCCGTGAAAGGAAAGAAAAAAAAAATATTTCAACATACTTAAATATGTTAGGTCGCTTGAATGTGTCATATGCTATTTTTATTGTATTTACAAATTTTTCAAGAAAATATTCTTTCAACTTTTTTTACTTTTTTTTGACGCTCTTAATATATTATTTAGAGTATTGAGACAAAGTGTAAAAAAGGAAACGAATAAAATCTCGAATGGAGCTATTGTGTATATTATATTGTGTTAAAGGAAGTTGATGAAAGTAGAAGCGGTAAGTCTCGGTAAAATCGTTAATCGTTTTGGGCTGAGGTTGGTATTATATAACCAATCAATGATATTTTTTAATGTGAGGAAAGGAAATAGTAAGGGAAAAAGCGTCCTAAAGTCAAAAGAAATATATGTGTGATGTGTGTGTATATATATAATTACAAAGGAGAGATGAAAGGATAATACTTTTTTTTTTTTGTGCAAAATTAAATATTTACAAATGTATGTAGATAATGGACAAATGAAAAAACAAAATCAATTAACATTAATTGTGCCGTTTGTTCCTCGATTAAGTTAATTTATAAATTTCCTCTTGAGCGACAAGTTTAGTTATGTGGGAATCTTATTGATAGACGGGGACGTGAAGAAAATGAGCAACCTACGTAGGGAACAATAAATAATCAACATTTGTGTCCTATACGTCACCCATGCTTAAGCAACTAATTTATACTTACTTTACTTTAAAAGCTCGATTTCTCTAGTTATTTCATGTAAAAAATCGGATGTGATAAATTTATTGAAGAGAATGTAAAAGAAAAAAAAAAAAAAAAAGCGTTTCAAACACTTTTTTTTTAGTTCTCTTTTATATAATATTTTTTTTTGTTTTAAATGACCTAATCTCTTAGGTCTTAAAACCGCCACTATATTTAATCGAGAACAAACCAGGCGTCGCTTCTTTTATATAATTTTTTTTTTATATCATAAAAGAATTCTAGAATAGTTAATAAATTATATTATACATTTAGCCTTTTGAGGCAAAGATGTGCATTATGTGTTCGGCCGAAATTAGCAATGAAAACATTTTTTCACCTCCCCATTGAATTAACTACTTACTTAAAAACAATGTCATAACCCAAATATTATATATTATAATATAAACCCTTTGAATAAGTAGATCGTCTTGACCTTATTAAGATTTAAAGGAAATCTTTCTAAAATATTTAATTAAATTAATTAAATGACAGGGATATTTTCATTCATTAATTTTTTAGTTTAGGATGTCTGACCCCCCTATTCATGATATCGCACATTGTTCAAAGTTTATTCACTATCTTTTGTGGGGTTCCCGATTACGTCTGTCTCTCTATTCAGTTCTTGAAAAAAAAAAAAAAAATTTTTTTTTTTTGGTTTTTTGAATTATTATGGATTTGAAGGCTTTTTCATTAAAATACTTAAAAACCCCACTTATTGATTTATTATTGATGAAGGAATATCAATTGCGTGATCTATTTAATGATTTCATGAAACATATTCGGTCGAATATGTCTCGTTTGGTCGTACGGTATCACGTTATGCATCAATCAACACAAAAAAAAACAATGACTTCTATATATAGATTTGAAGGTTGGTCGATTCTCTCCAAATATAGACTTGCAAAGAAATCTTTCGATCGGGATAACACGTAATATTCCAATTACCTCTCTTCTGATTCGCTATCTATCAAGTGTTTTGTGAATCATATGTTTCCCTGTTCATTATTAATATCAAATGCAAATGATCTTTTAGAAAAGCCAATTGGTTTGATTATATCGCGGAGATAATTTACTAAATTCAACCCTCTAATAAGATAACAATTTGTCGGTATTCCCCGACAGCTGACTTTTTAACTCTAAATGATAATAAATATATATACGGATTTCCTGTTTTTTTAAAAAAAAAAATATTTTTTTTTTTATTTTTTTTTTTTAAAAAATTAACCCGATAATAGATAGGCAAAAATCATTAAAGGTATTATAAAAGCCTATCATTAGTATTAATAAATGAAAAAATTTTCCTATAGGTTTGTTTATTGAAAATGTATAGTCTATTCCAATATTTTAAATGGTTAATTAATAACTAATCGCGAATACAGAACGGATTTTTAAAATTTAAATTGTTTTCAAAAATATTGCTTTACATTGTATATATAAGCTTAAAGATTAATGATCCATATATATCGATATATAATCCAATTAAAAAAAAATGATGATTATTTAAATCATTAAATCATTAAAATATTAAATATAATCTCAATTATATTTTATTGACATTTAAAGATATATAAAATTTTATTTAATAATAAAGTAATAATAATTAGTCCGGAACGAAGTATATGTTTTAGCCCCGATGTCCCTCCCGCTCAATAATTGAATCGATGCTGATTGGCTTTTGCAATTTCACAAAAGTCTAGATAAAGCTAGTTAGATTGTTCCGAACTTAACAACGCAGTCTTACCTCAGTCTTACGATTGATTGTTAACTAATAAATAATTTAGTTTTTACGCTTGGTCCTGGCTAGACAACTTAAATCAAGAAAAATGGACGAGAAAGCTGATAAGAGAGTTCATAGAACCTTTCAGGTATTTTTAATCTTGCACTATTTTGAAATGGTAGGTATAGCTAGCGAACATTTTTATGTAGGAATCTAAGACAGGGGAACCCAATATATGTTCCGTTTGGTGTCGAGGGGAAGATGGTAAAACCGCCTCATTGTCGATCAATTCCAATAATAACCATATGGGACGTGGTAGCCCTTCTTTAGACAATCTACATCAGGATTTCGAGTAAATGGAGCTTCAAGACCAGAAAAAGTATCTTTCCAGAATGCTAATTGTCTTGGCCGACAAAATCACAATAATGAATACGGAAAGTTCGCATCGCCCATCAGCAGTAAATGTAATCATTTCAGCGGAAAAGGTGAAGATCGTAAAATTTATGTTCGGGGCGTCAGTCCGCACGTCACAAAAGATCAACAATTCAGTAGTACTGTCGAGGTGAAATATATACCGATCCTACACTGGTGCCATTCGAATCCTGCCCGAACAGGGATACAATCCAATCGTCGCTACTTTTCTTTGGGCAACTGCGCCGAATCGGTACCTTGGTGGGCCATGCATGGACGAAAGAAGAACCGAAGACACCGTGTCGTTTTGTGGTCCCAAACATTCAATCTATTGAAGAAAATGTTTCGGAACCATGTCTTCAGTGCCGAAGGATGAAGAGGATGAACCTCGAGAAGGTTGCAATAATCCGAAATCTCCACTTATGATAGTCGAAATGATTGCAAATAAATCAGATCGTAAACGCGTTGCAAATTCTCTTAACTGTAAACTCGAAGGCGGAGATCTTTCTAATTGTATTTGTTACATGGAACAAGTTAAAGAGTATTATGGTTTTGATCATATCATTATCATCGGAGAACTTCATGCTGGAATTCTTTTTTTTTGGACTGCTATGGTCGTGTGTTCATATGGGACTCAATGTGTTATGTTTTATGGTCGCTTGGGAATTATTGGAACGAGGCAGCAAAGACTAGCCAAACAGAGTGGGGTTTAGAGATCGATTGGACTGTTGTTAAATTTGAAGAATTTATGACCCTATAAAAAAAAATTGTCCAGAAAATGTTATCGAAAATGTCCGGGTGTATGTGAAAAATGTCCGGAAAATGTCAAAATCGTCCGGAAAGTGTACCAAAACATGGTGGATTCCGGACGTCGCGTGATGTCTTAATATTGTCCGGAATTTATACCGAAACATGGTGGATTCCGGACATTATCTGGATACTACAGCAAATTCTGGACAAATTCCAGAATTTTTTTTTCATAGGGTGAATGGTATATGGAGATTTTGTTCATTCCTTTTTTATCTTAATTCTTACAATTAGTTTCTTTCTCCTAGATTCACCAAATGAACTAACCTTTAACAATCCTGCCACAAAAATAATTAATGTTCACCCTATTACAAAAAAGAAAAAGAATTCAAAAAAAAAGAATTCAATTATCTGTAGTGTTTTGATAAAGTGTGATGTGTTCTCAATTTCGATTTATGTTTGCTATTAATATTACTCATGTAAACAAATAATTAGTGGTCATAAATATACATAGCATAAGACAAATTTACTGTACTTTATATATAAATAAATAAAGATTTCATTTTCTGCTTTTACATTTTGTTTTTCACGTTATACAAAAAACTCAGAGAGCTGAAAAGATTTATATATTATTTGAAGAAATAGGCCTAGATAAAATCAGATATACCAAATCTTATCGTGCAAATTCCATTTCTAATGACTAAATTTATGAGATCAATCACCCAAAAATTCTTGCTGAATGAATAAGGGCTATATTTCGCATTATTTTTTTTGACTTAATTTGCAATTTATATTTTTGTGTTATATTGTTCACACTACTATCATACTAACAAAATAATATTCAGATATAGATATTATTTTCTAGCAATCATTATTTCACATATGAGATTTTGGGATGCGTATCTTCGTCATTTTTATTTATTTGTAAGATGCTAATGAATAATGAAATGCAATGCATAATGAAATAGTGATCTAGAGGCTCTTGCGAAATGTTAGTAATGCTATAAAAATGGGGCTGATGGGATGTGTTAATAAGAAGTAATTGCAAAGCATAAACAATATGTTAGGTTTGAAACAAAATTCGTCTGACAAACCGTCTCTTATTAATCTTAAAAATCTGAGATACAATACCTTAAAAATCTCAAGGATAAAATCATCGTAAAATAGAAAATCTCAGAATTAGAGCAATATTTAGAATGTAACAACAATATTTAACACTTCCTCTCAAAGTATTTACTAGGGATTCGAACCGGATCCTAATTTGTCACCCGGATGTCTGCTTACTTTTAAAATCGGGTCACCCGGGTTAAATTTGGGTTAAAATTTTTTTTGAAATATAATTTTAATTTTATCAT